TCCGTAGAAACACGAGCCACCCCGAGAACGAGTCGTCTACGATACGCGGTTTTTTAAAAGCGGAACGGTCGGCTTTTTAAAGACGCGTATTTATACGCTCCGAACGACCTCATGCTGAGATCGAGACAGCTCGATGCGATCCTTGTGTCTGGTTTTCTCACATGAACCTACCGAGAGTCTCGTTGAACTTTGCGCTTTCCGTGTAAGATTTAGAGAGAACGTACAAACAGGAAATAAAACCGGCATAATTTTTGCGAGTAATGTTTCGATGCCGTGAATAAAATTAATTTCTAAAAATGATCTCCATGTTCTTTCCGTCAACGAAAACGCGCTAATTTGTTATGGAAAATACAACTTTTGCCGATCTATAATATCGAAAATTTTGAGCTCATCGAAATAACAATAGTCATTAATTAATTATAAAAGCAAATCTTTTATAAAAAGTAATTTCTTGATAAGAGAGAGCAAATATTTTGTGTTAGATATTTTTTTTTCTGTAAATCACTATTTATTTCTGATGAAAAAACTTGCCTGATATTTATAAAGAATCGGTTTATAACTTGATATGTGCACACAAACTGTTTTTTATTAAAGATTTTTTTATAAATATTTACAAAACTTTTTTAAATGTTTTCTCACTGTAAATAATTGTACGTTTTTACAATATACTGTGTGTGTAATAATTTTTTATAAAGTATTTTTATAACTGATTTATAATGTATTTTTATAACTGTTTATAATGATCGGTATTAAATATCGATTTCATTTCTTGAAACTCGCTTCGGAAAAAAACAAAAATTATTCCAATAAAGCTTGATCCATCTCAGATACTGTATAAACATATTTACCGATTGCATATTATTTTTTCAATGCATAGTTTCAAAAAATTTACTTTTTTTGCAGGTAAATATCGGCAATTTTCGCGTGCTCAGCTGTCACGAGGGTGTCATGCCGAAGGGGTGAAAGGGCCGTAGCTAGGTAAGCAGCTAAAAATAAAATCAGTACATCATATCGAACGATCCGCTATAAATAGCCCGAAGCAAACGAGAAACTCTGAATATATTAGAACCGCCTGACTTGCTGCATCATCTTTTGCACAAATTATAAAAATACATCGCTATACATGGTTTGCATATTATTGAAATTATTGTACTTCGCTGCCTTGCTCCGCGTCTCCACCAGCACGTGAAAGAAAAGAGAGAGAGAATATTCTTTTTCGAAAATATTTTTCGCCCGAAAATAATATTTCTTTATCATAAAGTATAAAAATAAAAATATTTAAATAATTTTTATTATTATAGCTTGACATTATATATAAAGCTTAGACGTTTGCTTTTAAATCTGAAATCTCTAATCTTTATAAAATTATGCATTTTAATAACGCAACAGAATATTAAAGTATGTACATAAATTGTTTTATAAATTGTAAATTGTATTAAATGTTTTCAAGAACTTTTTTCTTTTTATAAAGAAAAAAAGGCATAATTACTGTTTCACCAAATATTTCAACTAGAACAAACCATTGACGATTTTCCATCTTTTTCGCTTAACAATTGATATTCATGAAATGTTAGTTTTCAATTGGCCGATGTGTTAACGGTATCCAAGCCAATGAATCGATAAAGTTTAGGGCGGGCGGCGGTGAGGGTTGGTGGTGGTCGAGGGGAAACCCGCTTAACGTGACCTTGTCTGCTATTTTTGGAAGGTGGCACGTGATTGGGAGATGGCTCTGTTTTTTTAGCCGGCGGCTGAGAAAAAAAAAATTCCACCGTTGTTCGAATTAGATTCACGGGAAAGAACCGCGCACGTCAAAGGCGGGATGCATGATATTACACGCGAGGAACTCGTCGCAGAGGAAGAGTGACTTTTCTCCTTCGCTTTACAATACTTTACAGTCGAGTCGTTCATTATCGCCGAGCCCGTCCGTCCGCGACTTTCTGAAGGAAACCACCTGTGGTTAACGGAATAGGAGATCGTGCCGGAGCCGCATTTTTTAAACATGACGCATATTGATTGTAAAATATGAAATAGAGAAGGAATTGGATATAAACATGACATGAACGAATTTTTCTTTCAGGGAAACTTACAAAGAGTAAGTTTCGAATATACATGTAGTTCTTTAGTTAGTCTTTACATTACAAAGAAAAGAATATACTTAAAATCCAAAATACAAGCATAAAATTAAGCACATTTTCTATGTGTCAAAAAGAATCACGTAAAAGAATATCTCAAGTTCTCATCTTTTTTTCCTTTTAAAAAAATTTGACTTTATAATCTTACGTTATAGATATACGAGAATGATCGTTAGGTTTATTAATGACGATTAGAAACGCGTGAGAAACTTTTTTTATATTTATGAGAAATTATATACTTTCTAATAATATTTCGTCACATGCTTTCTGATTCAATCGTTTCAGCAACTTCGAAGCATTACTCACATCGCGATGTTCGACGTTGAATTTTTCGGCAACGACACATTTTGTCCGTCGTCCTTTTGCAAAATGCAAATCGGTATTGCTATAACCGCACGCGCGCACTGCCGAGATTGCGTCAGAGAGGCACGATCTCGGACCAAATGTCAATTTGCGTAGTGACATGATTAATCCAAGAACGAGCGAAATAATACTGATTCTGTTTGTTCGGCTTACCACAATGACACGGTAAAGGAAATATTGACAAATGGATTTCTGTCTGATTCCACCTATTTGTTAGATATGATATATTGGATTACAATAGACAGAATTTCCTAAAATTGTTTATCTTATAATTTTAATAACGGGCCCTTTCATAAGTTTAAAATTTCAATTTTTTGGGAAGATAAACTATCATTTCTTATCCTAATTTTTTCATAAGTAACATTAAATATTTCGATAATTTAATTTTAAATTTAAATTTTGGAAATGTAAGATCTTGAATTTTTTAAAAGAATAATATTTTATATATTATATATAAAGAGTAATATTTTATATGTTATTTATATAATTGCTTTTGTGTGAGAAAAATTAATATAAAAAATTTATTACTAAACAATTATATAAAGTTACAAATTTTGAGATAGTTTGAAGTTGTGCTGTCAAAGCAGTCGTGAGGAAAGCTCTACTTTTTTGGCTATATACATTTATAAAATTTATCAGTACGTACATACATAAATTCACACACACATTATAAAATTTTATTTATATAATCAGGCTGGAAACTTCAATGGCTATAATACGATATGTCTACGTCTACTATTTTTTTCTTCCCCGTACTATGACCGTACGACTCGATAAGCGTAATCTGTGCAGTGTCATTAACGCCGGTGACGCGGTCGGTGATTATTGTACGATTTCGGTGAATTAAAGCGGAGAAAACAAAGGGCTGACGATAAGAGAACTTCCGGGAGCAGCCAGCCGCAGCACCCACGGACTTCCGATAGTGCGCAATGCATTTTTAATCTGATTCAGATTACCATATATTTTTCATATTGAAACTTGCTTTCTATGCAAGTTGCTATTTTCTAAGAGACGATTAGCAAAAATTAACTATTCTTTTTATGTAAAATTCTAAATTAATATAATCATTTTCAGATTTAAATGGAACACTGGAACAAAATGTATGTGTGTGTATTACATACGTATAATTTATTTTAATAAGACTGCACAGATTAATTGAAGAATATAATAAAAATTTATTTGCATAGAAATAACTGTAAGATTATATAGGAAAATTTTGTTTCTAATGAAAAAATTTCGCGCAAAATTGAAAAGCTTTTTTAGAAATGTTTTTTTTTTTTTTTAAATTAGCCGATTTAATTTTATCGGTATGACGCGTAGCCGTAAAATTAGTACCGCATAATCTTTTAACGTTAAACACTGTGGCGCGTGATGCGTTGTAAATTTAACGGTTCCCTAGATGATAGCGGTAAATTTTAGTCAAGTATTACGTTGGTGGACATATTACGTCTCTCACGTAGGTAGATGTACCCGAGGGGGAGGATATAACTGATTGGGTTATAAATATCGGCCGCGAGGAAAATATCGATTTTTCTATCGCGTAATATAAGGCGAGCCCCTGGGCTTGCTCGTCGGTGATTAATCGGGCCCATCTATTTATGACGAGGAAACAGTTGAATAGAATGACGTACGTACCGAGTTCGCCCACGTTATCGTAGCGCACGTTTGCGCTACGCGTTTGCATTGCTCCTCGTTCGATCCTTGCGTCATTTACACAGGACACGGTTTGCATTGGACACGTGTCACGAATATTTACAATTGCTTATTTTGCTTGCGTACATAATATTCTTAAGATAGGAAATAAAAGAGGGGGATAAAAGGAAGATAAAAGAGTTATTTTGAGAACGCGCCAAAGATAAAAATTATCGATATTTAAAGATAAGCTTTTTAATTTACAAAGTCCTATATATATGCGTAAGATAATTACACGTTTGTTTATACAAGTATTACGTCGTGAAGTAAATTCATCAAATAACAATGAAGAAAATATATGATTTATTAATGCTGAGATATATAATATACTATAGATATTTGTGAGTTATGATTTTATTTATAATTATTAATAAAAGTAATTTTTAGAGGCTTTTATAATTAATAATAAACTCGAATTATAATATGCTACATAGTATTTTAGAAAAACTTTTTATAATTGTTAGTAAATTTGAATTGTATAATTTAAAAGATCACATAGATAATATTTTTTTTAAATTACCTGGTAAAATTAAAATTTTTATAAAATTTAAGATCGTATAAAATTATGCAATTTTCGCGGGAGGAATCCATGGCGATAAAGTCGCGAGGGACGATCCTGACGCGAGGGAACGCGTGGACACAACAATGCCGAGATTCTATAAATAATCGGGGACCTACGGCGGCGACCGCGCGGTGGCGCGGACAGCACGCAGAGAGAGAAGATCGGAGCGCGCACGAAGTGGGGTGGAAGAGAGAGAGAGAGAGGGAGTGAGAATGAGGCGTGAAGTGGGGAGCGCGCGAAGCGACTGGCGGTGTAGTTCGCTCTTGTCTGTCGTGCGACGCGTTTCCTCGCTGCTGCTACGGTTGCCGTTCGTTTCGCGCCCGTCGACGCGACCTTCGTTTCGCGTAACAGCAGCCACTAGCGCGTCGTCTCTCGGGTGTAGTAACGACGTAGCGTACGCCGTCCGGGCAACCGCGGTGCGCGTATTGCGTCTCGGTGTGTGCTGTCATAGTCTATGACAGTTCGCGTCGTTTTACGCGGTGTGATCGTTCGTGTGTGAGACGACAGAGCGTGTGCGAAAAGTCAAGTAACTCCGAGGGGGAGAAAGAGAGAGAGAGAGAGAGAGAGAGGACGGAGAACGTTGAACGCGGTCGGTAGTGTAATTCGAGTCTTTCGTGTCCGTCTGTCGCCTTTCTTCTCCATCGCGATCTCCATCCTTCTCGCAATTGGGAATTACGTAGTGGAAGAGACGGAAAATACGACGAACATCGCGTAAGAGGTAAATAAACAAACTACTTACTTTGTTTTTCCTCGTTCGAGAAAGCGCGGCGGGCGGCCGTCTCTCGGCCGCCATATTTTCGCGATTTCGCAGCGGTGTGTCGCAATGAGCGATGAGAGAGTTCGCTGTTACTGGCCGTTACGTTTCTCGTACGAAGATCTATAAGCGCAAAATTCAAACCGCCTTCTCTTCTACGCGCTCGTCTTCTCGTTCACTCGACACGCGCGCGCTACGCAATCTGCGTTTTTTTTCGCGCCGCTCTCGAAACACCGAGAAAAAAAAGGGAGAGAGAGAGAATATCTTTGCCGGATAAATCATACATCGAGAATACGTATCGCGCTGCTGGAGCATAAAACGAAGACGTAGCGCCTCCAAAGACGACCCCTCCCATTCGCTCTTCTTTCTCTCATTAATAGCGCGGCTATAATGCTTTTATCAAAGATTTATGTTTATTTAGGCATTGAAATATTCATGAATCTTCATCGCGGCGTAAACAGACTGCATGGCGTTTTACATGATGTGATAATAATAAAACTTTTCAACGGCAATACAAACGTCGATGTTTTTCGAATGCCGACTGTTTACCGTGAGTCTATCATGTTGTCAATTGATTTTGACTTTTAATTGTTTAATTTAAAGATCATGTTTCGCGTCCACGTGACGAGAAAATCGGACGGTTACACTCTAACAAATGCGTAGTAGATCTCAGGCTGAACGTGTCGAAAATGTCAATACAATATATATGTTTACAAAAATTTGTTTACGAGGAAATGTCAATAGAAGGAGAAGAGCAAAATTTCTCTCTTCTTCTCTCTCTTTCTTTCATTCGGACAGCAGGAAAACGCTTCGCATGCAGGAAACACCTGTTGTGTGTGACGCCCACGTTCGGAGTCGATCGCTTGCGCGTCGTGTCGTGTCGGTGGTTTATTAAACACGTCTCTTTAATCCGCGATCCGAATTAACTTTAACAAATATGTGCGACAAAATTGTATTTTAATATTAATACAAAATTATGTTTCGACATTAAAATATTTATTATTAATATCATTAGAGCGTTATCCAAATTAACAATAAATTGTTTTAATTTGTAGAATTTAATGAAAAATTATAGTCATAATTAAATTTGTCCATCATTTATATTTCCAAGTGTAAATGAATTACGTAAACAATTGTCTCATAAATCTTGTTAAACATATTTCGATACAAGTTTTTAAAGAGTAATTGTAGGATAATATATGTAAAGTGTTGCATTATCCTAGACAATTATAAATTTATAATTATAAATTTTTAAATTGTATTTTTCGATTATTTCTTTGCAGATAAATGTCTGATGTTGAAAAATGTGAAAATATGAATTTTTAAGTTTTTAAAATTAGCACAGATAATATGTCATATATCTATAATATATTTGATATTAATGCGAGATTTAAAAATGATTTTTTTTTTTTTTTTTATTATAAAAACCATAAATTTTAGAGAATATTGTTTGTTTTAATATTAAAAAGATATTAATAGTTTTGAAACATACTCCGATGTATTCAATTGTTGCAATTTATTAAAAATCGCTATAATTCGGTCTTCCAATTTACCCAACATTTAATCAATCCAGGCATCATTCATCATAGCAAAAATATCAGATGACATAATTTTGCTTTTTCAAAATCATAATAAATATATATTGTAATTCTACAATTTCTGCCAAATCTCGCAGAATCATATAATTTTGTGGATTAAATTATTTTTAACACTATTGTGAATTTGTGAATGGATCGAAAAAAAAAAAAATGATTCTTATAAAAAGAAATTTTGTCCACATCTCTTCTGAAAACGTCAGTCGCGAAATAGAAATGCATCACGACGTGGTGGCGATTTATCCTGCTCGCTACCGATATAATGGATATAAAGGATCACATTTTCATTCACGTCGAATAAAGAGCGGCTATATATCTATGACGCGGGGATCGAACGGTTCGATCCATCGATCCCGGGTGTCGTTCAGAGAACGTTGTCGTTGAGCGGTCAACGAACGAAAACGGCACGACGCGAACGCGTCGAGAAAGATTTACGCACGAGTTGCATCGCGCAATACAATGATGACGACGGCTTCGAGAACACGTTTGTCGAATCGGACGCACAAGCGTAGAATGGAACGACGATATTTCATCACGCGAGAGTCTTTTTCGCACGCTTCTTCACGCGCACGAGAACGAGTATCGCTTGACATTTGCGCCGGTTATAAGCGATTAATATCTCGGTAACCTTATCCAAGAGACGAAAACGCATAAATAATATTTTGCGTAATGGAGAAACGTCGTTGTAATAATGTCACGGTGTATATTCATATCTGATTCCGCGGTGTCATCGTATCCGACATCAAATTAATCAACTATATATTTGTGCATTCACGATTGTGCAAGAATGGGTAATCATATATTATTTAATATCTATTTATTTAACATTTTTTTTATTTAAAGTTTTTTCTAAACATGACTAATTGCAGACTAGAGGATAATATTATTATCAAAAGAATTATATTTTGTATATAATGATTTTTTTATTTAAAAATTATAGATAAACTTATATTTTCAATTTTTTTTATTATTAATTCATTATTTTTGTTATCTATAATATTTTATATAAAATGTATAAAGTAATGGAATTTTGATCTGATTGCGTAACAAAACTATTAATTTTACATAATTAATAATATACGCTCGTGCATAACGTGGATTATTATCGAGCTAATTAGCAGCTTGTTGAGATGTATAGTTAATCGGATTAAGCGGGTTCACACAAATGCAGTATATCGGATTCTTTCGTAGATTCCGGTAGATTCGATACACGTGTTTGCAATTAATAAACACGCCCGAACTTGAACGATGCTTGTACAAGATAAAATCCACTTTATACAATTGCAATTCTAGATATTTTAAAAAAACATTTGCAAGATTAGATTTACACGTGTACAATCAAATATATTCTAATCTTAAAGAGTAAAGTACATGAAAAGCCAATTTATACAAGTGTGCAAAGTTCTCGAAGAGTTGCCAAAATTAAATTTTTTGATAATCATGCTATAAGATTCAATAAGTAATCTGTAAGTATAAAACCGTATGCAAAGATCGCCGCAATTCGTCAAAAAAAAATTTCATGTTTTTCGATCACTATTAAGATACCATATTTCGACATTTTGTTAAGGAATAATTTATTTTTAATCTTGGACACACAAAAACCATCGTTATATATGTATTCCAATATTATTCTATAAAGAGCCTACAAGGATTTCATAATAATAGATCCATTTATAATTTCTTTATAGAATAATATTACGATCGTCGGACGTTAACTTATACATATGTACATTATAATTAAAATTTGATTACATTTTAAAAATTCTTCATATTTCGATATTTCTATATAAATATAAAAGATAAAAATAAAAAATTCCAATTTTTTTTTACAAAGAATAAGTCACTATTTATATTGTAATATTTCTATTCAATATCCTTTGAATTGTATAAAACAAAATTTAATGTGAGGCGAAGGAGGGGATTAAAATTTCATCTAATTGTAAATCGCATCGCGTTGGTTTCGCGAGTGCTTTCTCGATTCATATCTTTCCTCGTGGTACACATCGTCATCGATTCATCGCGGTATGTGGAAGCTAAAGAACCTTACTTCCGAAGTCGACGTCGTTTCCCACGTAACCATGTATCTCGTACACCACAAGTGTACGCATACACATACAAAAGAAAGAGAGAGAGAGAGAGAAAAATGGTATAGAAACTTTCTCCTCGTAAAACGCACGATATCGCGGGTCACTTCTTTCGGGAAGCGATGGATCGCAAGTTCGTTCTCCTCGAATCTCGACCTACATAGTAAGTTCTCGCAACTGTCGCTGTAATCATGAACGATCGCCGGCGTTGAACTTGGTAATTAAGCCGACCCGTGGTCTCCGCGGATATTATTATCGTAAATTTTGAATTTCAAGCACCATACTTTGCAAGGTATTAATAATTAATCATTTTTTACACAATTTTTTTCTTGAGATTTGCTCGAGGAAGTTCTTTGAAACCTTAAGAAAGTGTTAGAGTGAAAAAAATGTGGTTTAAAAGACTTAACTCCATGGAGCAAGATCTTTTTTTTAATCAAAAGTATTGCCAGTAAACTTATAAAATTATAAATAAATTTTTCTTTTGAAAGTGTTTTGATTTAATTTAATATATACAAAAAGATCTAGGTCAAATTATTCTTCGTCAGTGCAAAGATTAATTTCTTATTGTTGCAACTATGGTTGCAACTACAGAATGTTTTCTTTTTTCTCTTTTGTAAAATTTCCATTTTTATTCATCATTGTGAAGGAAACTGCGTAAGCGAAAAAAACTGCAAAAGATTTTATTCAACTATCCTCTCTCTTTATAGAGAGTAGAAGGTCAACGAACGTTATATTGTACACGCGACCAAAGTTTTCCAACACCAATACGGAATTAAAATTAAATGCCATCGGTGAATCGAAACTTTCGCCAGCTCGCCGGATTCGTCGGATGTAAATTTATGCGGTGCCGCGTCCATATTTACACACTTTAAGATCTTAAGAATTCAATACCATACATCTCATGATGAGATGTCCGAGAGTTTGCCTTTACATTTGCCGCTCTTGTTTACGCGTATATCTGACAAAACTCGTTCCACGCTACGGGTACGTGCGAACGAGCATGTGTTCGGGTACGTGCATGCGCGCGTGTACGCAAAGCTGCTCGATCGAGAAGTATATTATTAGACACAAAAGTGGCGATGAAGTGTGCAAAACGGCGGCAAATTTCGCACGAAACCGCGAAAATAGCGATGCGTGCGAGGGCGAGAAAAGTCGTTGTTTGTCAGAGGTCCTCCTTTCTTTTTTTTTTTTTTTTTTTTTTTGCCCCTTCTTGAGAGAGAGGATACACTTTGTTCCTCTACAAAAGGTTTCAATTAAAGAAGTTACTCGGCGCGGTGAAAAATGTCTAGTCGCGGTTACGCGTCTAGCTTTACAAATGTGCATTACGCGTGGTACGCGGCTCTCTGCGAGTGCATGGCAAATGCACACCGGCGATGCACACTGAGAGACCACTATATTCGAGCACGCGTTACACGCTGCGAGTACACGTGTATCACGTCCTGTATGCGGTGGGATGTGGGCCAATGGCGTCGGGCACAAGGGCGATGTTATTTGATTATCGCGCCCTCGGCGTTGCTTGCTCCGCGCCATACTCGGCTTTTTTTTTTTTTTTTTTTTTTTTTCGGCCTCGTTGATTTTTCTCTCGCCTTTGTCACGCTTCATCGCGCACTTGACATACGAGCTCATTGACCAAAGCCTAACTTGATAAAAAACGATTATAAAATTAAATATGTGCGAAGAGACGAGTTTATAAAAATCTTTTATAATTTTATGATAAAAATTATAGCCGCGTCAATAATACCCTAATTTACAAAATTCGATCAGTTAAAAAATTTTGTCGCGTTTAATTTTCCTACAATATCTTTTTCACATTATTTCGATTTTTCATGCGATATAATTGTCGTGAATGAACCAATATTACTTCTTTGTTATTGAGATTACTTTTATATATATAATGTTAAAATATATATTTTATTACATACAATAATAAAATAATATAAATTAATTATAAGAAAATAATGTTTAAATAACTTACTTTTTCTTTATTTTTCTTCCTTAATAACAAAGACAGAGTTTTGCATCGAAAAGTTACGATCCATCCAGGTGATTTATATCGCGATGGCGATTGACTTACGCATTAAATCTCGGCGCGAATTTCCGTATGCGCTTTTATCGCGCGCTATATAACAGCACGTGAAAAGTCGCGGAGGCGTGGCGACGTCGAATTTAGATTCTTGGCGCCTACTCAACGAGAGAAATAGACTCCCGCTGGGTAGGTTGGTAGATAGATAGCCGCTTTTTCGAGAGAAAGAGAGCAAGAGAGAGAGAGAGAGAGAGAAAGAGAAAGGAAGAGATAAATGGACAGGTTTCGGCGCACCCGTCGCGCAAACGTGGAACGAAAGAAATCGAGCGGCAAGAAAAATATATTTAGCTCCCCTATCCTTGCTCCCCTTCCCTTCCGTGTTGAATATGGTGTATCTACTACCGATACACTAATTGGAGACTTTGACTTTTGATCGATGGCGAAGTAGCGCGTTCGCTAGATTTGACTCGGTTCGCGTTCTACTATCGAGATCGTTAACCTTAAGATTGATTAGCTCAACGTTTGTTGCGTCATTTATGAGGAAAACCCGTTGACTAATCCCTTCATGCTCGGGTATTAGATCAGATAGACAATTCGATACACTAATTGGAGACTTTGACTTTTGATCGATGGCGAAGTAGCGCGTTCGCTAGATTTGACTCTCGGTTTGCGTTCTACTATCGAGATCGTTAACCTTAAGATTGATTAGCTCAACGTTTGTTGCGTCATTTATGAGGAAAACCCGTTGACTAATCCCTTCATGCTCGGGTATTAGATCAGATAGACAATTTCTGCAATAATACAAAGTAATATCGTATTAAATTGATCTGATCTCCTTTCTGATTATATAAACGATTTATAAAATTTATTCGTATATACGAAAAATTGGCGGGTATTAGTTGGATGGAAATTAATTTAGCACCTTTTTTATTTATAATTACTTGACTTTGCGCATTACGATTTCCCATCGGTTTTCCATTCGGTTATTTCATGTTTCGGTATTTCGATTATGCTTCGAGCGACCAACATTCTAATTATTTATTTCAATCAGATGTTGACACATCTAACCGCCTTCCACGGTGACTGTATAGCGTGTCAGTTTCCGGTTCTAGAGAAAAATGTCGATTCAATCGTTAAACCTACAGCTGTATATCGCGATATGTTGGATAAATTAGTGAATTAATAATACCTTGTCTCTTCTACGCGCAGTGGATTGGAACACATGTTTATGTGTGTGTGTATGCGTCTGTGAAATGAACTAGCCGCAACTTTCCTCTATCCGTATACATATATACATACTTTCTTCGGTCACCTCGAGGAACACGTCACATGATTCCGCATATGCAAAACGTCTATAGCCTTTTCGCATCACATGCCATGTTTCTCATAAAGTTTCCGTTGTCGCGTCCAAGATATCGATAGGATTTTCGAATCGTTCGATGCAAGAGCCATCGATTCTCCACTTTGATCGCGTAAAACGCAATGTGTAAAACGTATAAATTATTTCTTTAGCCAACTAAGAGGAAGTAGTTTTATTATTTTGTTTTCCATATAACTGGATCATGCAGATTGCGTTCTCATACTATTTATAAATAAATAATATGAGAATATGTTTTCTACATGAAAGAATTTCTGTAAAGCTTCCTACGACGTTGATTCAATTTTCACATTCAAAAATAAATAATAATTTTAATAAATCACAAATTTATAAGTGAATAAAATCTATTTTAAGTATATTTATGTACTTTTATATCGAGTTGTTTAAAAATTTATATCAAAAATGTACACAAAATGCAATTAACTTTCACGTAATTTTCGAGCTTCCAGAATGAATTATTCGTATATCTTTCAATCTTTCAACACAATTCGATATTAACATTGATTCATAAGTGTTGTCAGCCTCAAGGCTTTAACGGTTGCGACTAAATCTATGAGGGATACGATCTAATCTGACCCCCACTTCCCCCCGACGACCTATATTTATCGTTTTGCGTCGTCTAAATGTGCCAAATCTCTCAACACGTGTATCGAGTTTTATTCAAATATCTTTTCGATTCGGACCGTGTGGTAAATTTACATATCCATACGTCATCTCACGCATTCGTAACTCATTTATATCTCACAATTTTTTTTAGTATATATCTCTATGATTGAATTAAAATTCGTCCAATTAAAATTCTGAAAAAGCAATGATTGCTTGAATCTAAGTTTTGTTAATAACAATGAGAGAAATGAGTGATTAAATGAACTTTTACATTCAATTGACATTATTACACGTTATATTATATCAACGTGCAAGAGTTTATTCATTAATTTTAATCATTTTTCAGAGACGTTTATTTTTATTATTTTAATACTTTTTTTCATTTTTGCCATGTCGTATGCGGGCATTTCGACAGTAATCCTTCTCCCTCCCTCTCCCCCCCCCCCTTTTTCTCTCTCATTTCCTCCGGAAATTTTTTATTTATGAATTTAAATAATCGCGGGATAGTAAGAGCCAAATGCGAATGGCAGTGCGTCAGTTCCAGAGAAAAAAAGTTTTTATTTATGGTTTATTTAAAACGCAATGCGGCGATCATGCGCATTTTCTGTCTGCGATATGAGACGAAGGTCGCCAACGCGCCTTAATCTTTGGCGTGCCATTATAATCGCCTTTGGCGCTCTCGGGGAGTCCTCGCGTATAGAGGCGGCCAAGTTGAAGGCAAGTTCAACATCCCGCTAATGGTACCGGTTCCCCGCTGCGGCGGGAAGAGCATTCACGAAGTAGTTGCCGCGGAGAAAAAGAGATAAAGGTCGGTCGAACTATCGATAATCTGGGGTGCCGATCAAGAGATCCGTGTCACGTTTATTTTCACGGATCTTTGAAATCTTTACCTTTTTTTAGATTGGATAATCATAGACGTTTCCTCAAAGCGATCTTTTCTAATAACGAAGAGACATTGATGCATAATATATCAATATTTTTCTAACAGCAAATTTCCGACTCTGCATATAAAGCTATTTTTTAAATAATTAAAAATTATATAATATAAATTTAAAATTATGTATAATTCAATCTTTATATATATATAATATCGGATGGCTTACAATATCATTATTTTTAAAATTTCTTACATGACAACAAAATTAAAGTATGCAGATATATTAATCATTGATTATAATCTAATTTTATTCCTTGTTAATTTAGCATCTCCACCACAACAAATTAAAATAAAAAAAACCAGGCCAAAAATAATCTAATTTCTTACTATCATATATTTTATTGATATCGATTTGCTAATATTAAATTTTCTAATTGTATATAATAAAAAGATGGATACACACACAGAAATTTGTGGTTATATCTCATATAGTGAAATTCCTTGATCGATTTTTGTCAATTCTTCCTGTAATTGCTCGATTTTATTTCACAAGAGAAAATCGATATTCACGATATTCAGGGAATGTCGATCGACTGTTGGCAAGGAATGCAGTTCGAAACGTGACGTGGCCGCGCGTGATTCCGTCGAGAGAATCGAACCTTTTTCTCGCGTCGAATAGTGCGAAGATTAACTGGGTCAGTCGTACGATCCTTTCCATTTCCAACAACGATCACGACGCACCGTAGTACGCACAATCATAAATAACTGTACGAATGTCGCAGCCCCGCCTCCGTAATGCAGATAAGTTGCTCGACGAAACCCAATATTGCTGCTTCGATAGCGCGGCCGAGTTCGCTTATCTCGTCGAAAAGGCGCTTGCGACGCATTGCAACTTTGCGCGTGTGATTTCAGCCGCAAAGAGATCGTATCTCAATCGCGCCATTGTTAACATTTATTTATGCAAATCTGCACTTAAACTGTCGCGCAATAGTCTCTCTTAAGTACCGTCGTTTTTTTTTCCCTTTGGATCAATCTTTTCGCTTTGCTAACAATAAAATGTATTTTTATCCAATTATCTATTAAAATTATTCACAATAATTATAAATTATTAAATTATTAAATTATTCCAATTTATTTATAAATTGTGAATTATGTATTATTAATCTAATAATTATTTTTATTGCGCGCGCATATTCGGTACCTGTTTCATGTTAAAATTATCGAGAAAGTATATGTTTTCATTGTGATAAATTTACGACTAATAAAGTAACATCGCCGATTAAGCGGCGAGAAAAAAGCTTGTCCATGAGTCGAAAAGGTTTACGATAAAAGAGAGAAGAAAAGGAAACGCCGGATGACGTCATGATAGTCATCCGCGCCACTTAGGCGAAGTCAAGGGATCAATTTACGACATGAATGGTGAACTATACTTGCCTCTCCCGAACATTCCATCCTCTAGTCTCGAAACCCCTTTCCACTTTCGTTCACCTATCGCTTGAATTGATGACAAACAAATCTATCACGGCTGTCGATAACAGATCACATAACAGAATCGAATTGTATAACACACGTTGAGTAACACATTAAGTAATAAGAGCGGAATTTATGTTTTCTTTTGCATTCATTCTTGATAATCTCAGATACAGTTTTATCAATCAAGTTAAGGAAAAGAGATTACATTAATGTTTTATATAAAGAAGATATATAATAATTTATTGCATAAAAATAGAAAAAAATATATATATAAAACATATACAGCTAAAAACATAGAAAATGTATACAAATGTTTTTATTTATTTATGTATTTATGAAACATGTGTATGGAAATATTTTCTGTTAAACTAGAAAACATTAACGATGAATTAATGAAAATTGCGTTTTTGCAATTATTTAGTGTAATCACTTACAATTAATAAAATTAATATACAGAGACTGATATTTATAAAGAGAATAAAGATTCATTTTTTGATTTACTTAGCGGCTATTTTAACGCGAAAACAAAAATGAAAATATATGCGGCTTCAAGAAAAGAAGAAGCAAATCTTATCGCAATTTCAATAGAAGTAATAACATCTTATGTATATATATATATATATATCTTTAATGCGTTTATATCGTATTTGCAATATATAAAAAGCGGAGGAGAGACGTTTAGCTTAGTTAGTCTTCTTACGGCTTATATTTATTATGCGGTCATTGATCTTTCGTTCGATCGCATCTATAACGAGGAAGATCACCTCGTCTTCCCACGTGCAGGATCTCCGCATTTTTAACATCGTCCGATGAAAATCGTAAGAGTTGCGAATATTTTAAATTTTTCTCTTCACGTGCATGGATTATTCGATACGGTGACGCGAAAAATATACGGAATGACTTGTAAAAAATATCATTAACATTTATTTTACAAATTTGTGGACACATTATTGAAAGAATTTTTCTCGACGCGACTCTACAACTCCAAAGGTAAAATTTACGTTGCTATTGTGCGATTTCTATGTCGCAACGTTATGCTAGTCAATACTTTGCTTGATAAATGAAGACCTGTGACTTATCACGCGATCAATATTTTATTCTCGCCATCAATCGATTGTATGTAGGGGGAACGTATAAATGGCGACGATAATGAGATATTCTAATGTCTCGTGTTTCGCCGCTTCTCGACACTGTTTTATCATCAATCATGCACCCCAAGCACATGTGCGAAATCAGCGATTACGTATTAATCGTATCAATGTTAAGAAGAGGTAGAGAGGAGAAAAGGGGGAGGAAAGTTGAACGTAAGCAATGCTATTATTTAACCTTTAAATAATCAGCTAGCGTCAAAAAAATAAATACGATGCATTTGATTCGGCAAAACACTGATATGCATTCATTATCGCGATCATTGTTGGAGGTTGTAAGGACATTTGCACTTGTCAGAGGCACAAAATTAGATTTTCATTCTTTGGCACTTGCGCGCGGACGTTGTTCACAGTTTCGTTCTTGAATCCAAATCTTGCGTATAACAGCTACTGTTGTACTTTTAGCATTATAAATTTCTGCATTTTTTTTTGCACGTTGCATTCGTGAATATATATAAGAAAAAATATATAAATTTATGTACATAAGAAATGTGATCGAATTTTTTTTTCTGTTGAAAACGAAAGGAAAAATATTCACAAGTAATATCCAGAATTAAAAAGATACAGCCTGAAATTAAGAAGGTTTTTAGCAGAATCAGATAAAGCAAAATTGTTTATTTAACTTTTAGAAAGAGCTTAGAGATATATTTTAAAAAAATTGCTTTTCTTTTTCTTTCGTAATAGTTTTATTAGATAGTCAAAACAGATGATAGCAGATATTATTACTAATGGATTGAACTCTGCTGCTCTTATAATCATCAAAAGTAGCTTGTTTACGATACTTGTTCTGATATATTTTATGTCAGATAAATTGATGATTCTCCTTTATTCTCTTTCTAGATCATCTCTTGGACATACGAAAAAAGTGATAGAGAGCGACGAACACAGAGAAAATCTCGCCGATAAGACGAGTTGGTGGTTATAAATTATTTATCTTTTGGAAAACATGAATCCGTGTGTCGTGACGATAAAATAATCGCGGTGTTTACGTTTGCGAGTGTGAGAACTGGTGTTAAGTCGGGGAGAAATCCGGATGGTGCTTCGCAGTGGATACTAAATATCTCAGTGGATATACTACTACTTAAGAGTGTAGCATATGGCCCTGGACTATGGTACTACCATTTACAATATGCACCACACGAATCAACTAGGTACGTATCAAAGAACGTGTGCTTAGCAATATTAAACAACTTTCTTTTCGGGTCTTCAGAAAGATCTTGTTTTCGCAAAAGAATGTTCTAAACAAAAATTTGTCTTTTTATAAAGCTCTTAAAAAAGAACTCTAAACAATTTTTTTTGTTAAATTCTTTTGTGCGTATATATCTTTATTTTCAATTCTTATAAATTGAAGAATAATTAAATATATTATGTGTATGATATATAATACTAAATTTAATATTATTTATTGAATAATTAAATACTTTAACTATAAAGTATGAAGCGGAAGAGACGGCATGAGCGCACGTATTTAAGTCCATATTTTAAGAGACAACGTATATAAATGTCACTCTATATATATAGAGTTTTCGTGTCTAATCTTAGCAACCGGCTACCGGCCAGAAACACAAGCAAAAAATGTACCTATGACTTTTCTTTTGTGCCTTGGTCGTTAGAATAAAAGAGAGATCTAGTTCCATAAAGTACTTCATCATCGTACTGATTAAATCTTTAAATAAACGTGTTCTAATTTTAAAACATTTTATATATATATGTGTATATTCCACTTAAATCTAAAGGATACATCTAAATTTGAACTGAAAAGATTATTTTTATTTATAATAAAGATATCGTAGTACAAAAAAATTGCTTTTTTTATCTGCAAAATTGTTTTTAAATTATGTAGAGAAAAAAGAGATGCAGGGGTGATATGAATACTATAAAACCTTATTAATCATTAACAGATTTAGTAATTTTTAAAGCTAAAACGCGAAACTCGATTTTTATAAATATATTATTCTTATTTTTACACGGTTTTATATAGAATTTTTGATTTTTTTTTTATAATATATATATGTATATATGTATATAATTGTTATAAAAGAAATTAAGGAGGTCACTAGATCAATGAAACTAGGTCTTTCTTTGATCTACAATACTATAGAAGAATTTCTTGACACCATAATTTACCGGCTATAACCCATCATAGTGCGATCGAACGACCTACCTTTTTTTCTGACCCGACTAAAGCGGCGGACATAATTCCCCTCGCGTGACAGGACTATCCCGAATCGTTTAATTATGCAGCCAACGTCGCGCATGCAATGGCAAAAAATTGTAATAGTTGTTGCAACGTGATGTTCCGAGAAAAGTCACTATATCTGGGTGACGGAAAGCAAACGACCGTATGATTACAAATTTTTAATAAAGCTCTTGTGGATTTTTATACGATAATTTTATTTATGGGCTATCACATACATTTCAATCCTCGACAACATTTTTCGCGCACAAAACAAATTTAAAAATTGTAATGAAAAGTTCTTTTCACATATTTTTTACAATTAAAGAGATGTGAAAGTGAAGATAGTGCATTATTGTGCATTAAACGAAGATGGAAGCTATCTTAACATGACGGTTGATGTGATTGCTTTTTTTGGCATTCTAGTTAATTTATATATCAGTATCAGTACTCTCTCTTTTATGTCAGTTTTTTATTTATACGAGTGCATACGAATCGTGCTGAGGTTGACCTCACACACCGACTTTTTTTTATTCTTTAATAATAGACTTGCTGTCAGGTCATTGTTATGCATGTCCGTACGTGTATGTTTTGCAACATTTATTTATTTGTGTTACACCGTTTTGAAGTATCATTCCGTCGATACTATGAATTTGACTTTATAATTTGTGCCTTATTATTTATTCACAGTGCGCATCAAATTTATCGAAAATTATTTTTGCAAATTTTTCTTTTCTGAATTTAAAATCACATCTTCTTAATAAAAATATCGACTTTTTTTTTTTACTGAAACCGCGCGATTTTTCACAATTTCAATCTTAATGTTTTCGAACTATTCTTATTAGCTATTCGAACTAACACATAAGCAAGACTTTTATTTTAATTTAAAACTAAAGGGGGAAAATAGATGAAAGCTTTATAAATTTTTTGATAATTTATTAAATTTGTGATTCTTTATATTATGAGAAATGATAGAGAATATCGCAAGCATATAATTTGCAAGTCTGTTAATTTATTTATCTATTTGCACACCGAGGCCACGGTTCTTCGCCAATCTTTTGCAAATGGCTACATTCGCTGTTCTTTCATCGACTTTGCCGACACGGCTAATATACGTGTACGCGATCGCGAAGATAATCGGGTCGAGGATGGCGAGAAATCGTGCGTGAAAATTAGATGGCAAACGGGCGAATAGTCGCGTCCCTTGCACGAAGTGCGCGCCGAAGTTGATGACGGGATCGTTGCCAGAGAATCGTCGTTTCTCTAGCCAGAATTATCAGTAGGTTGGATCATCATAGTACAGAACGCATAGAATTCACGAGACTTCAATCCTTCCCAATAACAAATGGCTAGAATAGACATTGTCCGCTAGAGCGGACATTGTTTAAATTATATATTACTTAACATCTTAATTATATTTTGAATATTATTCATAATAACAGTTGCTAAATTTCTTTTTTAATTTTACGATTTTAAAAAAGAAATTATTTGAAACAATTTTTATGTTGTGGAAATTTTTTATATTATAAAATTAGACGAATAATATAAAAATTGAGAGAAGAATGATCTATTTGTGTTGAAATTTTATATTTTTATTACAGACAAGAATTAAAGAAGTAACCACTTCTTTTATATCACGATATATTGAATTTTTTTTTCCTATTAGCAAATCGGTTAAAGTAGTATATTAATACTTTTTTGCTTCTTATAATTAATTACAAGCTTATCGACATTTATTTTCCCCTCCAAGAAAAAGATATTAATCTTAACTCTCCGCAAACTGTGGGATGAGGATTATCGAACACCATGTCGGGATGGGTATGAAATTTATTGTAATCAGTAGTTAGGCGGGGTTTAAGTGCGTACATCCGGAGAGAGGACATTTTGTAGGAGGTTGCTCGTGCGGCGCAATTACCTTAATTAATGTGGGCCCTAATTGTCTTTACCAGTAGTCGACGCGTTGCGCATGACCGGCGTGATGCGAGAAGACTCGAGTTGCATTAAATAAAATCTACCGGCATGAGAGATATAAATAACATCGCATAGCAACGTGGCGAGGGGTGCACTTTAATAGCGCCGATGTTTCGAATCTTTCGTTTCCACGAAATTGGAAATCGTTCGGGATAATCACTTACAATAAGATGTTTATAATTCAGTACCCATTAGTTTAATACGCGATTAAATGTTACGAATATATTCAAAAATTCTAAATCAATCGTATTTTCTTATTTTTCCGGATTGAAATTCGAACATTTTGAGATTTCTTTTGGTCGATTTACAATTTGATTTTTTATATTAATATGTATCTGAAAATGTGTTTTTATAAATACAGAAAAGATATATTTTATTATATAAAATGACATTAAAATATATTAATATAGAAGATTAGAGCTCGAAAGCGAGCTAGCGGAATTAATATCTTCGAAGCATCGGCGAAATTCATTGCGGCCATTAGCGGTTTAGCGAAAGCGAGACCTTACGCAGCATTGCGAGAAGTCTCGCTGGCAAAATTGTGGCTCGTCCGCCGATGCGTTCCGGCATAAGCGTGCCAATTTTCACGGGGACGTGAGATCGAGGCACGCGAGTCGCGTGACTCGCGGGCATGCAAACGAAGTCGTGCAATTTGTCCCGCACGCGCGAACTGTACGCCACTCGTACACTTTGCACAATCGATCGCGTTCTTATTCCAAGATTCTCCCTTCAGTCACCATTCTCTCATCTTACACGTTTTACAGAATTTTTTGAATAAAAGATAGATTTAAAAAAGAATGGGTTTTTTATAATTCTGCTGTCTTGTGTGTATTATTTCTCATTTTACGTATATCTTCGAAATGAAAACATTATGATACTAAAATCCAATTTAATATAATTGTCACGTGAGGGGACATGAATTGGGGATAAATTAAGAAATCAAATTCGGAAATCAAATAAAAATCCTTTGGCAAATTCTTGAACAAGTAAGCAGAGAGGAAAACTTTATATGCACAGGCCTCAATATAGGATATTATTTATAATATTTTATTGTTGACGAATCCAGAATCGTTTAGATAAAAATTTTTTATTATCGGACGTGCGTTCTTCTTTTCTTCCATAATAACTGACGTTGAACGAGGATCATGAATATCGAGCGTGTCGCGAGGTAAGCGACACGAGCTGCGAAATGTCGCATCTATTCTTCCCTCGCGTGAGGTGGCAGATGTTAAAATGCGGCCGTTGGTGACTCGCATTGACTCGCCGCGACGGCCAGGCGCTAGGTTTTTAAAAAATGTATGTCGCTCGCTTCACTATCGGCGGCCGCGTTATATTCGCAACGTATGTTTGTGGAGATGGCGCCGTATCGTGGACAAAGTTCCGGCACAAAGGGAGCCGGCCGGCAGACCGTTCGTCGTCGTGCAAAATGCACTGGAATGCACATTGCGATACGAGGACGAACGACGCAGCGCCGGCTCTATGGATACGTACGTGCCGCCTTTGAATGCATCCGCGGTGCGCTTGAACAGAGAGCACGTAGCCGCGCCGTTCGATGCAGCCACTGACGTGTGATGCTTCCGATGACTATATAATGGCGATTTCATAAAATTAATTCTACCGAGCGCGCGCGCGAGATCTCGTGACACAACGGCATAGGGCGAGTCTACTCTCGCGAAAACGAAGACGGGAGAGAGTCGCGTTTCATACACGTGCAATATTTATCGAGAAGCGTGATAATAATATCTCGGAAGTTAAATTTTTTATAACATTATTTTTGCCGCTATTCTGCGTCAAGTTATCGATTTGTGGTCTCTTATTCATTACTGTATCGCGCGAAACTTTTATTTTTAAATACATTCATGTATGTGACTTAATCGGCAGTTATCTGTGACAATATTTTATACAAACACATACACGTAAAATCTCTCATTTTTTATTTTATCTTATTTTTCGTATATCTTGATAATAAAATTAAGTCTAATATTTGGGTTATTATATTGACAT